GTGGGCAGATTCTTTACGGTCTGGGCCACCTGTATGTCATTGTGATTACTCCCGGGTGCAGTGTACCCAAGAGAATTTTGCAAAACTTCTGGGTAATTCTGTTGTGCAGTCAGGGTTGAGACCTGCATTATCTTCTAGGGCAGATGGGTGGGGCCTGGGATGGCCAGAAGCACTGGGCCAGGCGCCCTCGGCTGGGAGCAGCCTCCACCCTTTATCCCAGTGTGGATCACAAATCCCTGTTCACATTTTGTATGTGTCCCAGGCTGTGCGAAAAGGAAGCTCTGCCCTGTAGTAAGAAACATATTTGACAGCCTAATGTAAGGCACTTGGGAGAAAGACCAAGAAGGAAGCAAACTAATCCCAGGAACGGGGAAGGAAAGCCTGGGCTAGATGGGGAATGTAATGAGTTCGTCAAAAAGTTCAATCAGGTTTCTCCGTAAGCTGCTATGGAAAAACCCCAATGATCTTTTGGCCAACCCAATAGGAGGAGACAGCTATGACAGTCACAGAGTAATGGATTAAGGTGGCTAACTAGATCAAAGTTCTTTCAAACTTGTGTCACTTTTAATTGTCAGAAGAGCTGACTGCACTGGCTATGTCCCTGCTGACTCAGGAGCATTCTCAGCGCTGCTGAGCTTTACCTAGGGCTCCCAAGACCATGAACTGGCTAGGGTCGTCATGCTTGGCTCAGGCTCAGACATGAGCAAATGGAACTGCAGCCATTCATATTTTTATAAGAACTTCTCCCTTATGAAGACCAAAGGCCCTTGCCTACATGGGGCATCAGTTATGCTCCTGATGATGATTCCTATGTTGAGATTCAAAAAATAAGCTCTGTGCATAGTGTGAAGATGCTCATTCCAGCATTTTCTATAGTAGTGACATATTCCGATAATAAAAGAGATGAATAAAATGTGGTCTTTTAAATAAAAGAATTGTATGTAGCCATTAAAATATCATGATGAAAGAATATGAATGAGCCAGAAAATGTTCACGAGTTAAAAAAAGAGTGCGCAAGGACTTTCCTAGTAGGGAAGATTCTGTGCTCCCAATGCAGAGGACTCAGGTTTGACCCCTAGATCAGAAAACTAGATCCCACAGGCCACAACTAAAGATCCCGCATGCAGCAAGGAAGATTGAAGATTCGTAGGGTTGCTACTAAGACCTGGTACAGCCAAATTAAAAATAAAAGAAGTGCACATATTCTTTTTGGAAAGCAAACTTAGGCTCATCTTTTGCTTGGGGTAGTTTTCTCTTGTTCAGTAGCTAATCTGTAATTATAGAGTAGTCTAAATATGCAGGTGTGTTGGCAAAGCCTGAATAAACATGATGAAGGTATTAGTGCTAAACGTGCTGAAGAAAATGTGAAGGTATTAGTGTTAGAATTGGTGGAATTATGGACAAAAGGGAGTTTCTATTTCAAAATTGTCCTAATGAGACAGGCATTTGTAACAGGGGAATTAGGAGGAAACTCTCTTGACGCCAGACCCTTTGGGTCCCGGTTCTGCCATTTATCATATGAATGATCCACTGGCAAGCTTAAGACCTTTCAGTGCCTCAGTTTATTCATCTGTAAAATGGGAAAGGCTCTCTCTCCGTTAATTGTTAGAACAGCCCCTGGCCCATAGTAAGTACTCTGTAAGTGCTAACTATTTTATTATTTTAAAAAATACATTTTTATCTATTTGGCTGGGCTGAGTCTTAGTTGCGGGACGTGGGATCTTTGATCTTTGTTGCATTTGTGGTATGTGTGGTATATTTTATTTTTTTTTTTAGCTGTGGCATATGTAATCGTGCAGCACACGAACTCTTAGTTGTGGCATGTGGGATCTAGATCTCTCACTCTGCATCGAGCCCCTGCCCCCTGCATGGAAAATGTGAAGTCTTAGCCATTGAACCACTATGGAAGTCCCGAGGTCTAACATCATTTTGAGATTGAAAAGGAACAACTTCTCTCTGGTCCCTCAAACTTCACAGTTTACAAAAGGATTTAGAGAGGTGGTAGGCAACGGTAAGTTACTGAAAACCATATCTTCTTGGTATGGACAAGCATAATATTAAATGATATCTCAACATCAGTGATAAATTACTTTCCTTGTGTTTTATAAAAATTATTTGCTGGTTTTCCTAACAATGGACTGTTAGCATAAAAAAAAAGTCCAATTAGCTAGTGAGAATTCAGACTGCACAGAAATGCCTCATACCATTGTCCATCGCATTTCCAGGCTTACTGCCTGAGTCCTTGATTCCTCTTTCTCCCATAGCTCTGCACCACATCCTTTTTCTTTTATTTATTTATTTTTTTAGCTGCACTGAGTCTTCATGGTGGTGCTTGGGCTTTCTCTACTTGCAGTGAGCAGGGACTTCTCTAGTGGTGAGGTGTGGGCTTAGCTGCCCCACAGCATGTGGGATCTTAGTTCTCCAACTAGGGATCGAACCCATGTCCCCTGCATTGGAAGGCAGATTCTTGACCACTGGACCACCAGGGAAGTTCCCATCCTTTTTGTTCTACTCAGGGAAGATTTCTCAAGCCCATCATTTCCTTGCTGTTGCCAGTACTACTACCTTAAGTGCCTGTTGCTGTCATCACCTGCCTGGATTATTGCAAAAGACTCCTCATCAGCCTCCCCTGCATCTAGTCCATACATTCTGGTTCATCATCTGTATAATCCACCAGTGACAGCGCTCCCTTAAACCCCAGCCTCCAACATCAAATCTGATGTCACTCCCCTGCTTCAGAGCATCTGTGCCTAAGCCCCACCCCCAGCGTGGCCTGCACAAGAGTCAAATGCTCCAGCACGGACATCAGAGATCCTCACCCTAGCTTTGCCCCACCTCTGCAGCTTTACTGGCTATGGTCTTTCACACCTCCATGCTTCTGTGCTTATTTCTGACTTCCCAGAATGCCCTTCCCACTTTTCTATCACCTAAAGTCCTAATTATATGAGCCCCAGCTCCACTGAAAGTTTTCTCAAACTCTATCACATTCGATGTAGTGTCTGCTTCAGTGGCATTAGGAATCATCACGACATCAGGTCACTTGTCTGATTCCCCCAGAGTCTCTGGCCTAGCGTGTGACACAGTAGGCACTCAATAAATATTAACTGAATCAAGGAATCACTTCTGGTTGCTCAGGTTTTTTTATGCTAAGACTCAGGTTCTTTCTCTCTTTTTAATTGGCTGCACTGGGTCTTAGTTGGGGCAGGCAGGATCTGTTTAGCTGTGGCACATGAACTCTCAGTTGTGGCATGTGGAATCTAGCTCCCCAGTCGGGGCTCAAACTCAAGCCCCTTGCATTGGGAGCTCAGTCTTAGCACCTGGACCACCAGGGAAGTCCCCAAACTCAGGTTCTTTTATCCTTGTTTTCTTTCCAAAGTGGGCACTCTTGGAAAGTTAACCACATTGACCATACCCAATTTAAGTCTTCCCAGTCGCTTTGCCTGCCAGTCAATGAGATCATGGTTATTTCTATAGCAATAACAGAAAAGCAACTAAAAAATGCTTTTTATTTGGGTCCAGTGCCTTTTCCCCACACATCTGTGTTTAATCGCTCAGTCGTGTCTGACTCTTAGCGACCCTTTGGACTGTAGCCCACCAGGCTCCACTGTCCATGGGATTTTTCAGGCAAGAATACTGGAGTGGATTGCCATTTTCTCCTCCAGGGGATATTCCCAACCCAGGGATCAAACCCGCGTCTCCTATGTCTTCTGCACTGCAGGCAAGTTCTTTACTCACTGGGCCATCCAGGAAGCCCAGCATCCGTAGTAATGCTGCTGCTGCTGCTGCTAAGTCACTTCAGTCGTGTCTGACTCTGTGCGACCCTATAGACGGCAGCCCACCAGGCTCGCCCGTCCCTGGGATTCTCCAGGCAAGAATACTGGAGTGGGTTGCCATTTCCTTCTCCAATGAAGGAAAGTGAAAAGTGAAAGTGATGTCGCTCAGTCGTGTCTGACTCTTAGCGACCCCATGGACTGCAGCCTACCAGGCTCCTCCGTCCATGGGGTTTTCCAGGCAAGAGTACTGGAGTGGGTTGACATTGCCTTCTCGGTCTGTAGTAATGAGATAATCACAAATTGCCGGGATGGTCTCATCAGTTTCTGCAGTAGGTGTACTTGAGCATGTGCGCCACAAGAGGGCGACAATAGCAGAGGATGCTAGCAGCCCTTGGGCCGTTGGCCAAGCACCAGACAGAAAAGCTCTTAGTGGGATATTCCAGGGTGAGACTAAGGGATGGGAATCCCCAGGGAATTGTTTGGTGCTGACCAGAAAAACTCTGAGGGGAGAGAGAGGCACCTAGGACCTTTTCGGGTAAAAATACTCCTCTTCATTTTTGTTTTTACCAAGAGCCATAATCTTGAGTAGGGAGGGGGTTTACGAGTTGGACTGCATGTGGACAAAGAAATCAGGTAACTGGAACTGAAATAGGGCCCTGTCTTCTCAGTAGCAGTTCCAAAGTCCAACTGGGAAAAAGTGACTGTAGGAAGAATTCCGTTATAGCTCAGTGAGGGCCCCAGAATAATTTAGCAATATTATATATAACATCTAACTGTTCAACAAGTTACTAAAACTTCGTCTGTTACTTTACTTAAATTTCACTGAGATCATTTAAGGTACAAATTATTATATGGTATACACCTGAAAAAACCTGAGATTCAAAAGGACACTTCATTCATTCTCCAAATATTTATTAAAGGCCTACTGTGTGCCAATCACTGGGTCTAGAGTATTGAGCAAAATTAATTCCTTCCAACTATAAAAAGAAGGGCATATTGTACTTTAAATGTCCCCTTACCAAAATGAGAGGCACAGTAGAGCAAGCTGCCTGGAGAGAAAGACCTCTTGCCAGTCAGGCCTCGTTTTAAATATAGAAACCCCCTAAAAATATCCACCCATGCAACGGACTCAACAGGTGATTGGCAGGAACAGAGGGGAGGGGATCTGAGGCCTCGCTGAAGGAGAAGGAAAGGACAGTGGCCTTGTCCCCAGCTTCTGCCACCGACATGGCTTTGCCTCTGAGGTCCTTGAGTCGGGGCTTGGCCAGTGCGGCCAAGGGAGACCATGGCGGGACAGGAGGTGAGTGCAGCTGGGGCCTGACCCTGTGGCTTCCTGACCTTGTCCCTCGGTTCCCCCCACCCCCTGCCCCTGGGGCCTTCCAGGGTCCAGGCCTCCCCCTATCTCTCTCTCACCCCTGCCTTCCTCCCCCACCCTCCGCTGCAGCCCGCACCTGGCGCTTCCTGACCTTCGGGCTGGCGCTCCCGAGCGTGGCCCTCTGCACTCTCAACTCCTGGCTCCACTCGGGCCACCGCGAGCGCCCGGCGTTCATCCCCTACCATCACCTCCGGATCCGCACCAAGGTACGCTGACCCCTTGCGGACGCGCGCAGGCGGCTGAGCCAGGGGATGGGGGACCCTCAGACTGACATCTCGCTCCCCTTCCCTCTCTCTCCACAGCCCTTCTCCTGGGGAGACGGCAACCACACTTTTTTCCACAATCCCCGGGTCAACCCTCTGCCCACGGGTTATGAAAAGCCTTGAGGCTTGGCTGATGCCCCCACACACAATAAAATTGTGGAAGCTGTGTGTCCGCGGCTCCTTGGGACCACGGGGCGGGGCGGGGCTGGTTCGAGCTGGGCGCATGCGCACAGGGCAGTGGGCGCTCCACGTGCTCTTCCGGAGATCCTGACTCCCGAGGGACTCGAGAGAGCATCCTTGATGGACAGGTAGGAGACAGCCCCTGCCCTTTCACCTATTCCTAATTAGGGCTCTAGGTTGTAAAAGGCTTTCACATACACTGATTTCTCATGATAACCCTGGGAGCAAGGTATAATTTCGGTTCTCTTTTCTCCAGAGGAGGAATTTGAGATGCTCAGAGATAAAATGACTGAAATTCAGGCAGCTCACCGAGGCCCGGTGGGAACTCCGGGCTGCAGGCCTTGAAGTATCACACGGTTGCCTGACACGCCCTGAGGGCCTCTCTGAGTTCCCGCTGTGTGGAGACAACAGTGATTTCAAACACAGATCTACAGCCCCGCATGAGAGGCTTCATGAGCTAATTCTGGATTTGGAATATTTCAGTCATGCTCTACACCATCATTCACAGGTCTTCTGTATTATTTGGGATGTTAGATGCCCCCTTTCTGGAAGTTTGGTTCTCCTAGCTTCCGGGGACCCCATTCAAGGGTTCAAGCTCTGGATATCTCTTTCACCTTCTAGGACAGTCAGCTCACTTGTCATTACCAGGGAGCCTGAGCGGAAACCCATGACCAACTCACACACACACACACACACAGAACTACTTTTGGCCTCCTAACACTGCTTACAGTGCGCTTATGCTCACAGGTCCCAATCAACTGAGAGAGTAAGAAACATCTCTATCCGTGAGCAGCCCCACCCGCCTAGAACAGCGTTGAGGTTCCTGGATTAGAGCTCTTCCTTATGGCACAGTTATCTTACAAGCATCTTCATTTAATGTGACAGCTCTTATACATAAGAGAATTCACACTGGCATCATGCCTGCTTCTGTGAAAAATGGGTCATCACAGAAGAAGTCTGGTGGATATGGAAAAATATAAAAATCTTTTGACCCCTTGGGAAGATGACTTGGCAGCTGGTAAATTGCTCGGGCCAGTCCCCGCAGAAGTTATTTCCCCGAAAGTGGATTGGTAGGTGAAGCCAAGGTCAGCCAATGGGAATAGACATAAATGGGAAAGTGGATTATTCGGACAAAGGTGGATCTGGGGTCTCACTGTGGATATCTTCCCCGTTGAGTACAGCAGTGTCTTCAGGCTGGTTATCCATCATTTCTTTGTATTGACGTTTGAAGAAGCCACACTACAAAGGGATATAAATCAGGAAATCTGGATAGGAATAGGAAGTTGGGAGTAGGAGGAAGCTGAGACAGAAGGGAACTAAGCGGCCTTGCATTTGTGTGTCAGAACACTTATGTGAACAACAGCTATCACCGATTGAGTGTTTGCTGTGTGCCAAGCTCTGATGTGTACACATCATTCATAGATTCTGCATATCTGGCCTCATTTCTGTTTTGTTTCAGCCACTCTGTGATGTAGGCATTATTATCATTTCAAAAATGAAGAAACAGGCTCAGAGAGGTTGGGCAACTTGCCTGACATTAAACAGTGAATAAGAGCCAAAATGTGTACCTAGACCAGCCTGACTCCATTGTCTGAGTTCTTCCCTCTATACGATCCTGTCTGTGGGAGGGCAGGGCCGGATGCTGGCGGTCTCAGGAGTGGGGTGAAAACACTCACCTTGTACAGTAGGGCTGTGATGAGGGCCAGGAGCAGCAGTCCTCCCATGGAGCTGCTCACAAGGAGGGGCATGGGGTTGTAGACCTCATACTCTTCTAGCACCATCTCCACCTGATTTGGGGATTTGGGGGTCAGAAAGTATCAGGCCTCCCACATTCCCATTTTTTTTTCTGAACTGCATCATACAGCATGGGAGATCTTAGCTCCCCAAACAGGGATCGAACCCTCTCTTGCTGCATCCATGCATTGGAGGTGTGGAGTTTTAACCATTGGACCACCAGGGAAGTTACTCAGTTTCCCAGTCCTTAACTCCCTTCCTTCCTTCATCAGGCTCTGCCTCAGGAGGTGACATACAGAAGCCCTCATGGGCTTAGGGATGATCCCATCCAGAGGCCTCCATCCATCCTTCCTCTCTGCAAACTTGCAAGCCCTGCCCCACCCCCCAACCACTCAGCATCACAGACTTAGCATCAGGAGCCCTCTGACCAGCCCAGCCACTGCCTACCACACGGTCACTACCTGGGCTCTCAAAAATGCCTCCTGTCCTGAAATCTGGGTGTACACAGATCTGTTGAATGTGACTTCAGCCATGCTCACGACCAACGTCTTCTTCTGCAGCAACTGCAAAAGAGAAGGGCAGAGCTGGGAACTAGCTCTATAGGGGGCAGGGGGCACACAGGCAGCTCAGGGATAGAGAAACACCCTGGCTTGAGGGGGCCACAGACACTTCAAGCCCCATCTGAGTCAAGGAAGGACACACCTGGCTGGTCCAGCCGAAGCTAAGGTTGCCCTTTAGGATGAAGTCAAGCTCCTCCTGGACGCCGAAGGAGGGGATGTCACAGCGGAACCTCAGGCAGTCAGCGACGGAGCAGTTCTGGGAACAGGAAAGGAGTGAAGTTGAAGAAGATCTTCACTTAAGCAGGAACCACAAGAGAGAATGAAATATAGCTGATTGGGGGATGGGGAATAGATAAACCATCAGAGGATGTAAACGTGGCTCTGAAGCTTAGCAGTCCATTTCCCGGGAGCCCAGTGCCCAGCTGGTCCTGCGGTGGGAACTTTCTCACCAGCACAAGACTGCTTGGCATCTGGATCTGGAAATCCGGCTGCTGCGGAGGTTCCCTCTCTGACACACAGGGGAGACTCTAGGGAAAGAGAGAAATAGCTACAGGGTGATCCGCTGGGTGGAGGGTATGGGCATTGTGGGATCAGACTCTGGGGAGTGACAGAGGGAGGCAGGCACCTGTGAAGGGGCCACCAACGCCACATCCCACACGGCCACACCGTTCAGCAGAACGGGGACCCAGAAATGAACGCTGATGGCCAGATCACGCTGACTCAGGTTATTCACCTGCAGGAAACAGACAAAACATGACTGTGGCCCCTGGAGCATCCCACCTCCCCCCCCTTTCCTGGCTCCCACTCCCAGCTCTTCTCTCTCCTTCCCCTGCCAGCTCTCTCTGTCCCCACAGGAGGGGCAGACATGGATCCTCCCTGGCCTCTCACACGATATCGATGCTCAGCTTCTCTTGTGCTCTTCTGGTCAGAAGTTGAAAAATTGAAGTACTTGGTGGATTCTTCTTGACTGGAGAGAGAGAGGGCTTATGGGTGAAAACAGCCCGGGGACCATCCTTGGTTGCACCCTAGCCTGCTGGGAAGGGACCCAGTGGGTGACCCAGGGGATCTATGTTCCCATGTGCCTGTGCAGCCTCAACTTTAGCCTCAGTCAGGGAGCTAGATCTCACACGTGCAACTGACAGATCCTGCATGCCACCACTAAGACCCTGTGCAGCCAAATAAATAAATATTTAAAAGAGGGGTATAACAATATTATAGACCTAATAGGAGGGTTGGGCTTCCCTGGGGGCTGAGATGGTAAAGAACCTGCTGGCAATGCAGAAGACTCAGATTCGATCCCTGGGTCAGGAAGATCCCCTGGAGAAGGGAATGGCTACCCACTCCAGTATTCTTGCCTGGACAATTCCATGGACAGAGGAGCCTGGTGGTCTACAGTCCTTGGGGGTCACAAAGAGTTGGACACAACTGAGCGACTACCATTGCTACTAATAGAAGGGTTAAATTATGTAAATATCTGTAAAGTACTTAACACAAGGCCTGGCATGTCAGAAGTATATAAACTGTAAGCTTTTATTGTGCGTTTTAGTGTTTTCCCATGGATAGAAGGGGAAATTCACACATAGAGTTTGGAAGGGCAATGACACTGCTTGACCCCCTTTTCTAGTTCCCCTAAAAATTGGTACATCAGCAACAGCATTGAACTCTGTCCCATGGCAACATTATAAGCTTCTGACCAACTCTAAAGTCTCTGGAATTTAGCCAGGTAGGCGAGGCCCCTTGTCTTGCTTCCAGCCTGGCCTGGCCCCGCTCCCTCCCCACTTTCAGCACCGGGGCAGCAGGCCTGCGCCTGCCTTTCCTGTGGCCTGCTGAGCCTGTGCTCCTAAAAACCATCCCAACAGTTTCTCACGTCTCTGTTCTCCCCCGAGTTGTGTGAAAACCTGACCTTTCTTTGATCTGTGCGGTGGCAGACCATATCCTGTTGGAGACAAGCTCCCCACTTCAGAGTGTTCAGAAAAGCCTCAGTTCTTAATCTAGTAGATTCAGCTCAGCATATTTGTGTTTGGCCCAAAGGCTAGAGTTGGCTTCGCGTTAAAGGAAGCCTGCACCTTGGAGAGGGGAGACCGGATGCACAGGGGTGGCAAGGTGTGTGTGTGTTTCCCACCAGCAGGTCGGTTCATCGGAGGAGGACCGAGATTTACGGGATATGGTGGTGCAGTGGATAAGAATCCACCTGCCCACGCCGGGGACGCAGGTTCGATCTCTGGTCTGGGATGGTCCCACATGCTTTGGGGCAACTAAGCCCAAGCACCACAGCTACTGAAGCCTGCACGCTCTAGGGCCTGTGAACCCCTGTGTGTCAACTACTGAAGCCCATTTGTCTGGAGCCTATGCTCTGCAACAAGAGAAGCCACAGCAGCTAGAGAGTAGCCCCTGGTGTCCAAAACTAGAGAAAGCCTACAGGCAGCAGCGAAGACCCAGTGCAGCCAAAACGAAACAAACAAATAACAAATAAATATAAGTTAAAAAAAAAGAATTATGGGACATGATATGCTTAATCGCTTAGTTGTGTTGGACTCTTTTCGACCCTATGGACTATATCCCACCAGGCTCCTCTGTCCATGAGATTCTCCAGGCAAGAATACTGGAGTGGGTAGCCATTCCCTTATCCAGGGGATCTTCCCTACCCAGGGATCAAATCCAGGTCTCATGCATTGCAGGTGGATTCTTTACCGTCTGAGCCACCAGGGAAGCTATGGTGCTATGCTGTAAGTATATGGCTGATCAAGAATTTTCATGTGAGAAATCAGAGGGGCTAGCTTAGATACTCATCCTCAAAAGAGCAGGCTAGCTGGCAGGGGGAGGTATTAGGTTTGGAGGAAGGTCCAAGGGGAGGACAGGGATTAAGTACCTGCTGATCACTGTGTAGACAGCATATTTCACTGGGAGCTCCAGCTGGGAGGTAGTCTTGTTGGATGTAGGTTTATTATTTTCACTGGAGGGAGGGAAGGGTGCCTGGTTGGGAAGGAATCCAGGAAGAGTCTCCGGCTGGAGCATGTAACAGGAGAGAGAGGGACACACCCTTCCTGGCCTGAGCTCACCTGCTTACATTGGCCCTGAGATGCAACTTATCTCCTAGGGTGACCTTGTAGGAGACATCAAATGTGACTATGAAGGTGCCCTGAGGGAGAAGAAAGAAGGGTTGAGGATAGGGAGGGCCATGGTGGAGAGAGGGAAGGAAATGGGGTCAGGATGAGGGGGAAGATCAATGAGAACTGGGGGAAGCTCTGACCTTAATGCCCTCATGGAAGATGGGGTGGTTGATGCTACAGCTGCTGCTCTTCAGGCCCTCGTTTCTGGTGGGCACTGCTTCACATGCCAGGCGCAGGGGACGCTGACCAGGTTGCTTCAGAGGAGAAGGAATTTTTAAAAACTTAGCCACATGCATATACAGGCTTGATGCAAAACAGTGGTGGCATTGCAAAGTCGTAGGGGAAGCTCTCAGTAAATGGTTCTGGGAAAATTGGCCCATACAAAACAAGCAAAGAAATGAACAAACACTGGATCCCTACCTCACTCCATACATTAGAATAAACCCCAACTGAATTAAAGACTTAAATGTAAAAGGCAAAATTATAAATCTCTTAGAAGATAATAGAGGGGAAGGTCTTTATAACCATAGAGTAGGGAAGTACTTCTTAAACATGATACACACATAAAATACTAAATACAGAGGAAAAGTTTGATAAAAATCAACCACAATCAAATTAAGACCATCTAGGCAAGGAAAATCAGTTAATCCTAAAGGAAACCAACCCTGAATATTCATTGGAAGGACTGATGCTGAAGCTCCAATACTTTGGGCACCTGATATGACAAACTGACTCATTTGGAAAAGACCCTGATGCTGGAAGAGGAGAAGAGGGTAGAAGAGGATGAGATGGTTAGATAGCATCACCAACTCAACAGACATGAATTTGAGCAAGCTCCGAAGAGATAATGGAGGACAGAGAAGCCTGGTGTGCTGCAGTCCATGGGGTTGCAGAGTCAGACATGCTTTAGTGACTGAGATCTAGAGAACAAACTAGTGGTCACCAGTGGGGAGAAGAATGAAGGGAGAAGCATACAGATCAAGTGTCAGAGGTGCAGACTGCTATTTATAAAATAAATAAGATGCAAGGATATATTATGCAGCACAGGGAATATAACCAATGTTTTATAATAATTTTTAATTGAATGTAATCTATAAAATGCTGAATTGTTATCTTGTACACCTGAAATTAATATGATTGTAAATCAACAATACTTTAAAAGTTTCAGAAAAAAGGAACATACAATATGTTTCCTTATGGCAGAAGTTGAGGAGCCTCTTGATGAAAATGAAAGAGGAGAGTGAAAAGGCTGGCTTAAAACTCAACATTCAAAAAACAAAGACCATGGCATTCGGTCCCATTGCTTCATGGAAAATAGAAAGGGAACAATGGAAACAGTGACAGACTTTATTTTCTTGGGCTCAAAAATCACTGCAGATGGTGATGCAGCCATGAAATTAAAAGACACTTATTCCTTGGAATAAAAGCTATGACCAACCTAGACAGCATATTAAAAAGCAGAGACATTATTTTGCTGACAAAGGTACATATAGTTAAAGCTATTCTTTTTCCAGTAGTCATGTATGGATGTAAAAGTTAGACCATAAAGAAAGCAGAGTGCCGAAGTATTGATGCTTTTAAACTGTGGTGTTAGAGAAGACTCTTGAGAGTCCTTAGTACTGCAAGAAGATCAAACCAGTTAATCTTAAAGGAAATCAGTCCTGAATATTCATTGGAAGGACTGATGCTGAAGCTCCAGTACTTCGGTCATCTGATGTGAAGAACTGACTCATTGGAAAAGACCCTGATGCTGGGAAAGATTGAAGGCAGGAGAAGGGGATGACAGAGGATGAGATGGTTGGATGGCATCACTGACTCGATGGACATGAGTTTGAGCGAGCTCTGGGAGTTGGTGATGGACAGGGAAGCCTGGCGTGCTTCAGTCCATGGAGTTGCAGAGAGTTGGACACGATTGAGTGACTGAATTGAACTGAACTGAACATGGTTCCATTTATATAAAGTTCAAATATTGGCAAAACTCAACAGCATTATCTAGGGGTATATTTATGGGTGGTAAAGAAATACAAGGAATTGAGTATTACAAGGCAGAATAGTGATTACCTTTGCAGAGAGTATGAGGTTAGGATGAGGAAAGTTATATAAAGGGCTTCTGGGGGTTCTAGAAGTGCTTTATTTCTTTTCTTTGCTTTGCTTTTCTTTTTATTAATATTTTGACTTTGCCACACAGCATGTAGGATCTTAGTTCCCCGACCAGGGAATGATCCCCTGCCCCCTGCATTGGCAGTGCAGAGTCTTAACCACTGGACCACCAGGAAAATCCTCCCATCTTTTAAATGTATTATTATTTTAAAAAATCCTTTGGAGTGCTTTATTTCTTTATCTAGATGTTAATTGCATAGACTTTTGCTTAATATTTAGTTATTAAACTATACATATGCCCTGTGCACTTCTCTCTTTGTGTATGTTGTATATTTTATCATAGAAAAAATTAAAGGAACCTATTATAACCCGGAGCAGGAGAGAGGTCCCAGCCACTGAAGGCCAAGGAAGCTGTTTACCTGGATTGCTAACGTGCGTCGATAGGACAGCCCTGCTGGATAGTAGAAGCTGATCACTGTTCCATAGGAATCCTCGCCCTCATTGGACACCATCACTATCACATTGAGCTCCAGGGAGCTCCCCACCACCAGGATCTCCAACCTGAACAAGGAAAGACAAGATTGGGAGAGAGACTCCGAGGAAATAGGTTGGAATTTAATCAGGAGTGGGGGCAGGGCTGTGGGAACGCATGAGCTACGTGCTGATGACCTCCTAATCAAAAGTGGATTCATGTCAATGTATGGCAAAACCAATACAATATTGTAAAGTAATAAAAAAAAAAGCACTTCTTTGTTAGAAGGAGAGGCAAAGGGAAACAGAGGGACTTCCCATCCTATGAGAATGGGGGCCCCCAAAGCTTTAGTGTATGGCTATGAAAGGAGACAGCACTTACTCACCCTGAGAAGCTCAGGTTGACACTGAGGTCCCCTTCACAAAGGTGATCATGCCCACAGTTCTTCTCAAAGGGGAGCTGCAGCAAAACAGTACGTTCTCTTCCCATCCGTGTCTCAATCCATCCCCAGTCTCATTAGGAACACTCGTCAGCACTGAGCATTACTGAGCATCTACCCTGGGTTAGACTCTGTCCTAGCACTCACTGTCCTAGACTCTGGCAAGGAGGTAGGGCGGATAGTGCGGGAGGGGCAGTTAGAATATAAATGAAAGAGAAGACAAGATCCTTGGCTTCAAAGAATGTAACGTTTAGTTGAGTCAAGTTCAACTGGAACAAGCATCCAGCAAACATTATTAACAGTCAATAACGAGACAGGTTCTGCACTTGGAAAGGTGGCAACTGCAGGTGAATTAGACATGGTGGTTCTTACATTCAAGGAACCTACAGCTCCGAGGGATCCACAGAAGTAGAGGCAGATGGCTATCAGTCACTGGTATTTGGCCTGGCATCACCATGACACGGTAAGAGGCCAGAAAAGAAGTGACAGGTGCTGAGCAGTGGTTTTCAAAAGAGAAGGAGATAAGACTGGGGCTCTAGGGAGGAGAGGAGATCTTTGAGGTGGAGAGAAGACGTTTTTTCCAAATAAGAAATATGACATGCAGGAAAGGTATAGAAATCAACTGCCAAACCACGTCTTCATCTGCTTGTTCTGTTGCTCTTACTAGGAACACTGTGAGCAATTGCAGGGACCTGTAGTCACTTGACGGTGCCTCCTCTTGAAAACAGAAAGGAGCTGTAGCATGAAAAAGAAAGACAGACAACATGGACAAAGACACAGAGGTAGAAATGAGAGAAGTTGGGGGACGTCCCCATCAGACTGATGGTCAAGACTCCATGCTTCCTGTTATATAACACAGGGGGGTGCTCAGCTTGGTGCTCTGTGAGGACCTAGGGGGAGGGATGGGAGGGCTGGAGGAAGGCTCGAGAGAGAGGGGGTATATGCATGTTTATAGCTGATTCGTGTTGTACAGCAGAAACCAACATAATACTGGAAAGCAATTATCCTCCAATTAAAAAAATTGCATCTGACTAGAAATGATTGTGAAGTCACCACCTGATATCACTTATATGTGGAGTTTAAAATATGACCCCAATGAACCTATCTACGAGACAGAAACAGAATCAAGGATATAGAGAACAGATTGGTAGTTGCCAAGGGGGAGAGAAAGGGAGAGGGTTGGATTGGGAGTTTGGGATGAGCAGATGCAAACCAGTGTGTACAGGATGGATAAACACCAAAGTCCTACTGTGTAACACAGGGAACTATACTCAATATCCTGTGATAGACCATAGTGGGAAAGAATATGAAAAACATGTATACGTATGGATAACTTCAATATCCTGTGATAGACCATAATGGGAAAGAATATGAAAAACATGTATACGTATGGATAACTTCAATATCCTGTGATAGACCATAATGGGAAAGAATATGAAAAACATGTATACGTATGGACAACTGAGTCGCTTTGCTATACAGCAGAAATTAACACAACATTGTAATTCTACTGTGTGTGTGCATGCTAAGTCACTTCAGTCGTGTCCCACCCTTTGTGACCCCATGGACTGTGGCCCTCCGGGCTCCTCTGTCCATGGGATTCTCCAGGCAAGAATATTGGAGTGGGTTGCCATGCCCCCTCTCCAGGGGATCTTCCCAACCCAGGGATTGGGAAGAACTCTCATCTTCTACATCTCCTGCACTGGCAGGCAGGTTCTTTACCACTAGAGCCACCTGGAAAGCCCAATTCAACTATACCTCAAAAAAAAAAAAAAAAAAGATTCCATAGTCCACTACAGGGGGTGCAGGTTTGATCCCTGGTCAAGGAACCAAGATCCCATGGGCCAAGTGACACAGTCAAAATAAAAAAAAGATTAAATAAATTAAAATGTGGGCTTAAAAAAATAAAAGAAAAAGTTCGAAGGGTCTGCAGAATGAGAACCAGAGATTTTATGTTGGGGCAAAGTGTATAATCAGCCGAGATGTGGGTAGGGCTCCAAGCTGGGCCGGGCTGTGGTAATGGGGTGGAAGCATGTTAGATTTGATGTGGTTTCGTGGGCATCTGGGAGCCACCCTAGGTTCTTCAGCACACAGAGACACAGCAAGAGTCAGAATGTCCCTGGGACTTCCTAGGAAGACTCACGGAGGCCGTGAAGAGGTCCTGGGAGCCTACAGCCAGCACAGGGCGGAGGTTCTGAGATGAGGCGATGGGCTCCCCAACCAGGGAGAAGTTGAGTCGCAGGATAATGGGGTTCACCATGTCCTCCACACAGTCCTGGAGAAGAAGGGGCTTTAAAGAACCTGTTCTCCTCCTCCTTACTGGCTACGCCGCATCCACGCCACAGAAACCTGGTTCCGCAGCCCCAACTTTCCCCTCTCCCGCCCCAGGCTCCCCGCCTTTCCTGCCTCATTCAGGAGGGAGTGGAGGTGTCAGAGGCTGGCCTTGGGCTCCTTCCTCCCACTCCCTCAACCCTCAGTCCTCACTGGTAAAAGCAGCTTCATGGAGTCACAGTGCTCTCCCAGCCCTAGGGTTTTTCTTCGAGTCAAAGTCCAGTTCTTGGTCTCACCAAAAACAGCACGAGAAATCAGCCGACCTGGATCCAACGCCAGATCGTATGTGACAGAGCATCGGACGTCAGCTGAAGCAGAAGGGACGGAAGACAGAAAGTGAGAAAAATGCGAAGGTTCTGTTTTCATTTTTTCATGCAATGGAGATTCGCTGAGCACTTTCTATGGGCCACGGACTGTACCAGGTGCTGGGATACAGGTGGAGAAGATGGAGAAATATGGTCCCTGCCCTCCTGAGCTTGCAGCCTAGAAATGGAGAGCAGCACGAAGGACATAACATCACAACGTGATCCCTGCAAGGGCCAGATCCTCAGTGGTACCGGAGAGGGCTTGCTAACTCAGATCTGGCGATCAGAGATACCTTCCTGGATGGACCTTGTCTGAGCTCTAACCTAGAGGATGAGCAGGGGTCAGGTGAAAAGTAGGGAGGGGAAAATCCCATATTTGGGGAATGGTGGCTAAGACCAGAAGAGAGAAGGAGGCTGGTACATTAATTAAAAATTATATGGAGGAGGGCTTCCTGGGTAGTTTAGTGGTGAAGAATCCGCCAGTCAATGCAGGACACACAGGTTTGATTCTTGATCTTAGAAGATCCCACACATTGTGAAGCAACTGAGCTCATTTGCCACAACTTCAGAAGCCCTTGCGCCCTAAATCCTGTGCTCCACACCGAGAAGCCTCTGCACTGCAACTAGAGAAAAGCCCATGCAGCAAGGAAGACCCAGCACAGTCAAATATAAATAAAATTTTTTTAAGTGTATGGACCGAATTCCACTGCAGACCAGTGGTTAGGACTCCATGCTTTCACTGCTGGGGGCCAAGAGTTCGACCCTTGGTCAGAGAACTAAGATCTAGCAAGACCCGAGGTGTGGCCAGAAAAAAAAAGTGGGGGAGTGCTTGGAGTAAGGGAGCTTGGAGAGGCAGAGGGGCCAAATCAGCGGGCTCACAGTGGGCAAGAATTTTAGTCTTTATAAATGCAACATGGGAGCAGGTGAGGAGTGGTGAACTGTGTTCAGGACCAATCAAGGTAACTACACCTGGTGCAGAGTTGGTGGGGGGGAGCAAGAATAGCCATGGACACAACTCAAAGTGGGTGGGAGGGAAAAGCCTTGTCCTCTGGGAAGGTGGAAAAGAGGGCAGACCTCCGGTGTATCCTGGAGAAGGAACCTAAAGGCCTGGGTGTGGGAAGAGGGAGGGAGAAGGGCAGTTGGGTGGATGTGGAGGTGAGATCTGGGTTCCAGGCTCCATCCTGTCCTGAGGATGGGCTGGGTGGGTGCGGGGGCACCTCTGGGAGGTAAGGGTCTGGTCTACCAGGAGGAAGCTCACCTAGGCGATCCTGTGAGCTTTTGTGGATGGTGAGACAGACTGTGGCGTGCCCAGCTTCCATGGTGGTGGTCAGCTCATCCCAGCACTGATACACAGCCTTTGTCACCTCCGGGGGTGTGAATTTCATAGTCACGTTCACCTTCAGCACTGGCAGGCTCCTGAGGGTGCATGAGGGGCTGAGGACCACCCTCTGGCCTCCGGTGGGGAGAACAAGGCAGAGGGCGGCTTGGTGAATCAGACACAGGGGACAGGTAAGGGGGGAGGGGGGAATGGTCACCTGAGCAGCAGCGCGTGTCCCCGGGCCCCCACAGCAAGGTCCACCAGTCCATCCTTCGTGAGGTCCTGACCCCCGCTCAGCGAACGCCCGAAATACTGGAGCCCGAGGGAGAGCTGGGAGCCTGTGATCCGCTGGCCGGAGAGAGAAAACAGAAGTGCAAGTCAGGGGAAGGGGATGGGAAAGGCTTGAGAAGGAAGATTTGGAAAGGACACTGAATAGAGTGGTTGAAGAGAGCGGAGGGGACATCCCTGGTGGTCCAGTGGTTAAGATTCCATTTTTCCAGTGAAGGGGGCATGGGTTTGATCCCTGATTGGGGAACTAAGATCCCACATGTCACAGGGTACAGCCAAAAAATAAAGTAATAATAAAAATAAAATTTTAAAAAAGGAGGAGAGGAGTGGAGAGCAAACAAAATGAGGTCCCCAGGGTCCCAAGACAGAGATCGGAGCACTTTTGGTCCAATGAGGACTTTGAGGATACAAGTTAATGACAAAATCAAAACATAATGAAGAGAGCATAACAGATTCATTTACTCATCCTCTATATGTTCATTCATAAATATTGGAGGAATGGACAGTTTAGTGCTGTCCTCGAGTTATCTTTACAAGAAGTCAATGGAATTTGCTCATCCTTTTATGTTTCACAAAAGGAAATCAAGGTTCACAGAGGCCAAGTCAGTCATTTGCCTAAAGCCACACAGCCCACAGGGCTGGTCAGGCGTTTGACCTGGGGCCTGTGATCTCTTAACTGCTAAGTGGCCCACACGGTTTGAAGTCTGTTTGGAGTCAAAGGAGAGAAGAGAGCATTTGTGCTTAGCTGGGCCAGGGCCAATTCAGGGAAATAAACCACTAAAAGGGGCAGGGAAATGGTCACTGCTGAGACTGGACCAGAGGTGGCATCAAGTGAACCTAAGACATGGGAAAGGAGGTGAACAGAAGAGGTTGAAGGCTGGGGGGGCGCCTCACCTGGCTGTGGGAGGGGCTGATGCCCAGTTCTGAGGTTCCGTGGAACAGGTAAACAGCACCCTGGTTCTCCTGCTCTCCCGGGGCCCCAATGGCCACATCCACCAGCCTGTCCCCATTCACATCCCCCATCGTGGTCAGGGCTGCCCCAAAGCGGCTCCAGGGGTGGCCCGGCACCCCTCGCAGAACAGCATTACACTTCCACTTAGCTGTCTGCAGAATGAGAATGGTGTCAGGGCTCAATCCAGGCGACCCCCTCCACCCACACCCAGATCCCACCCAGCCCGGGTCTCATCAGCTACTCACCCACCGGGGAAATGGGCACACGGACACCTGCCCCCCCTGGGTCTGCTCGTAGAAATGGGGGGCCCCGATGAGGACCAGGTCAGAGCTACTATCTCCATTCACATCCACGGAGCAGAGGGAGGCCCCGAAGTAGGAGCCGATCTGGAGGGCAGAGTCTGGAGTCATCCTGTCTGCCCTCTGCCAGGGGCACGACCCCTGGGTCAAGTCCCACCTCTCCCCAGACACCAACACCTCCCCCATAGGCCCTGCACCCCCTTCCTCTCCTCCTCCTCTGCCCCTGGAGACCCCCTCCACACTCAACCTGGCTCCCTGTGACTTCAGCCTTCGGCCTCCATTGCCTGGACACCTGGGTGAAGAGGACCACCTTCCCGGTGTGCTGATGGCGGGGGGCCCCCAGGATCAGGCTCTGTTGCCCCTTCCAAAGGGCCAGCTCTGTGGAGTAACCTGAAGGGGCCAGGGCTCAGCACCGAGGCTTCCCCAGACCTGTCCCCTCATCCCCCACCCCGGGGCCCCTGTCCTTCCCAGGCAGCCCGTCTCTTGCCCAGCCAACAGCCGCAGCCTTGTCTCACCCAGGTAAGAGTCCCTCATGTCCACGTGCTCCTGGGACATGTTGATGAAGGTGGGGTTCTTATTTTGGGGGTACAAGAAGGCACCTCCAGACCAGCTGAAGCTCCCCACAGCCCCCAGAACAGGCCCATCCTGGAAGGAAAGGATTCCAGGGTGAGCAGGTGGGAAGAAGACAGCCTATTCAGAAGAAATGCCTGCTGCTGACTCCGCCCACTCACCTGGAATTCTCTCTTGTCATTTCTAGCTCTCATCAGCAGCCTCGTGTCCCTGACTCCCACATCTCTCAGTCCATCCCCACTGCCACTGTCAGAGTCACCCCAGCCCCTCTCACCCACTGTTATTTCTGCCTCCTCGCTTGTTCTCCTCTGCTTCATCTGCTGTCCCAGAGTTGGGCTTTTTAAACCCAAATGTGCAGCCACTACCCTGCTGGCAAACCAAGGTGACTCCCTGTCATCAAACCCCCGAGGGTGGCATTTAGCATCCTTCGCAATTACCATGCATTCCAGAACACACCAACCCTCTGACCTGGACATTCCTCTCTCCTTTTTCTGGGACTCAGCTCCTCTCTCCAGAAGAGTCAACCTCAAAGTTACGTCTGTCAGATGTTCCTGGGCTCCCTCAGAAAGTGCTAGGCATTTCCTCCTCTGAATACTTTGTTTATTGCCTTTACAAACTCTTGTTTATGGCTAATTTAGGACATACGCAAAAGTCAAAAGGAACGTGTAATGAACCCATTAGTACCTGTGACCTAGCATCACTGATTAATCCATGACAAACCTGGTTCCATTTCTCCGTCCCCCTCAACAGCCTCAAAATTATTCTGGGTAAGGGACTTCCCTGGTGGTCCGGGAGCTAAGACTCTGCACTCCAAATGCAGGGAGCCAGGGTTCATTCCCTGGTTAGGGAACTAGATCCTACATGCCACAGTTAAGATGTGGTGCAGGCAAATAAATACATCAATAAAAATTATTCTGGATAATATCCTTCTGGATATTTTGAACACATACCTCCTTTCAGACAATTGTCTGTCTCTATCGTTATTTTGAACTGAACTGACCGTCACTTCTCTGGTCTTCGTGGTCTGGTCTTTCTCAACTCTCCAGCCCTTTCTCCATCCTGCCCCTAGCTCCATCTGCTCCAGCTGCGCTGGCCCTTTTCTCACTCTAGTGTAGTAACCCCATTCCTGCCTCAGGACCTTTGCACCTGCTGTTTCCTCTACTTGGAGCAATCTCTCCCTAGATATTTCCAGGCCTCACCCTTTCTCATCATTCAGCCTCAATGGTTATTCTTTAGCCCTCCTCTGATCACCTCTCTTTTTTTTATCGCAGTGCTTAGCACTATCTGAAAGTCTTTCATTTCTTTGTTTTTTATCATCTCCTCCCAATAGTTATGCACTCCAGGAGAGCAGGGACCTCAGCTATCCAGTTCTCTGCTGTGCTTCTAGCACCTATATGCACTGCCTGTGTGTCTCTCCCAGACTAGACAGTGAGCTTAAGGATTGAGTCCACTTTCTTGTTTATTCTGAGTCCCAGCTCCCAGCCCCAGGCTGGTGCCTGAGACTCTTAATCAAGCACACGCTCCACCCACCATTGTGAGGATGGAACTGAAGCCTTCTTGAGACATCTCATGCTGGAAGGAGCTACTTGTCCTCGACTGAGTTCCTGTGGGGGAAATGGGTCATTCAGGCTCCCAGAGACCTAGAGTTCGTGAGGATTCAGAGCAGAGAGAGGAGAATGTGGTCTGGGGCTTGGGTTCTGGGTAATGATTTGGGGCAAGCTAGAGTAGGGATCCAGAAAGAAGACTCTTGGACTGCAAGGAGATCAAATCAGTCAATCCTAAAGGAAATCAACAGTGAATGTGCACTGGAAGGACTGATACTGAAGCTCTAATACTTTGGCCACCTATGTGAACAGCCGACTCATTGGAAAAGACCCTGATGCTGGGAAAGATTGAGGGCGGGAGGAGAAGGGGGCAACAGAGGATGAGATGGTTGCATGGCATCACCGACTCACTGGACATGAGTTTGAGCAAGCTCTGGGAGATAATGAAGGACAGGCAAGCCTGGAGTGCCGCAGTCCACGGAGTCGCAAAGAGTCGGACACGACGGAGCTACTCAACAAGAACAACACAAGTAGGGACAGATCCTCAGGACTGTGGGGGACAATTGGGTCTCGGCTCTTTCAGTTCCGACACCTAAACTCACTCCCCATTTACCCTCAACTGCAAAGATCTTCTCCTGAAGCTGCACTTGGATGCTGCTGAGTGCTGCAAAGTTGTCCACCATGAACACGTGGTCCTTTGAAGGCATGGAGCCAATGGTGTTCAACTCCCGCCTGGCAGTGTGTGCCTGGAAAGCATCTCCCACCTGCAGCAGAGAGGCACATGAGGAGGAGGGGCCCGCCAGCCCTTCTACCTGGGGGAGGTGAAGGCTGAGTCTGGGGGAGCCAAGAGGAAGGGACGCACCCCGATGGCGTAACGGAGGATGTTGGCTTTCTCTGCCTCAGGGATGACGTCGCTGTATTGCAGGGGGTCTTTAAATTTCTCCCCGTCTGTGATGACAATGATGATTTTCTTGGCATTCATACGGGCCCCATTCCTACTGTGAAATAGTTCTCTCCTGTCAAGGAAGAAAGAGTGGGGTGACTCTACTGAGTTCTGGGAAGCAATCATTTGCAGCACTAGAAGCTCCTCTGGAGAGACCAGGGAGGCTTGGTACCCTGAGACTCAGGCATGTTAAGTCATGGATTCATACTGACAAAAATTACTGGCCCCAGCACCTAAGCCATTTTCTTCCTGGGCCACCTGGCCCCCAGTATTGGGCAGGCACGTGGTAGTACGTAGAGAGCGAGAATGGATGAGGGATGAGGAAGAGAAAGGAGCTGAGTGGGGAGAAAGGCGCAAAGAAGACACTTGGCAATAATTCCTGAGTCCCTTCCAGGGAGGTAAAGAGGAGCTGCATTTTTTTTTTTAAATAAAATCCACAGCCGTTTATCTCTCACTTCTTGGGCAGAAGCACTGCGCTCATGTTATCTCGTTTACTCCTTCCTACCAAGTTGTGAATTTATCCTCATCTGACAGTTTTCGAAGACTTAGAAAAAGTCGATTACTCCAGCGGTGACCCAGGTAGCAACCCGGGAGCCAGGATGGGAACCGAGAAGCAAACCCAGGTGGGCTCAGAGTCCAGCCAATCCAAAGCCAGGCCAAGGGGAAACACTGCAGAGGAGTCCGGCCCTCCACCCCGGCTCAGGGTGCAACCAGTGACGGGACCAGAAACACCCCAGGAAGACTGCCTGCGGCCCCCTCGCTTCCCCGTGAGCCCTTTCTCCAGATCCTCCTTCAAACACTAGAAAGGGCTGGGTAGACCCAGCGCCAGATAGCGGAGGGGAAGCCTTTTATCTCTTTTATCTGCAGGCAGCGGGGGTTGGAGCTTACACCACTCTCCGGATACCGGTGGCTGTGAACGTCAGACCATTCAGTTTGGCGATAGGATCCACTAGGCTCCGAGAGTTCCGAGTGGTCTGAAATTGGCTGAAGGTGAAGTGGGTCTTCATAAGGTTTGAATACTGCATCAGCGAGAACTGTGAAGGCCAAGAAAAGGGCCCTTGAGTTCAGGAGTTTTTTTTTTAAGTAAGTTTTAAATTTTGGAATAATTTTGCACTTACAAACCATGTTCCAAGTGATTTGGAGGCCTGACAAGTATATATTGAAACCCAGAAAAAGCAAACTGGAAAATCAGAGGTAAATACTGCTTCTTTCATAGTTTACAAAGAATAAATAACCTTGCTGACTACCATATTTGCTAAATTTAGATTAAAAATTTTTTTATAATATACAAAATCAATTTGAAATCTATATTTCCTTGTTTCTCAAGAATTTATGGGCTTCCCAGGTGGCTCAATGGTAAAGAATCCACCTGCCAATGCAGGAGACTCAGGAGATGTGGGTTTGATCCCTAAGTCGGGAAGATCCCCTGGAGAAGGAAATGGTAAACCATTCCAGTATTCTTGCCTGGGAAATCCCATGGACAGAGGGGCAACAAGAATTTATACACAAACACAACACACACACACACACACACACACACACTGGTTACTGGGAAATAATAAGATAAAGAAATCATGAGTTATATGGAAAACATGATAAAGAAATCATCAATTATTTGGCCAAGTTACCTTTAGTCAAATTTCACAGCAAAATTATTTGATATTTCTTTCAATGTATTTAAATAGCAAAAACCTATTTCCTGTGGCATGTGGGGACATAGTAAGTGTGATGGGGGAACCTCCTCTCAGGTCAGGTCTCCAGCTGGCCCTGCATGGTGACCATGCCTCAACCATGAACCCTAGCTTCCTCAAGGCACAGGCCTATTGATCCAGCCCCCAGTGATGCCAAGCAGCCTCCCAGGTTGGCCTTCCCAGAGGTAGACCCTCGCCCATCCCACTCCACCGGCCTCAGAGGGCCTAGTCTTCACCTGCGTGTCGGTGCCCTTGGACAGGTCCATCACAGCTCTGACAAAGTCCTTCATTCGTTTAAAGTCGGCTCGGTCAATGCTGCCAGAGCCATCAATCAAGAAGGCAATGTCTATCTCTTGATTTGGACACTCTGCAGAGAGGGAGAGAGGAATCAGAAACACATGTTTGAGGGGACTTCCCTGGTGGTCTGGTGGTTAGGAATCCTGCCTGCCAATGCAGGGGACATGAGTTTGATCTCTGATCTGGGGAGATTCCATATGCCTCGGGGCAACTAAAGGGTGCATCACAACTAGTAAGCCCATGCACCCTGGCCTGTGCTCTGCAACAAGAAAAGCCACTGCAATGAGAAGCCTGCCCACCACAATTGGAGAGCAGCCCCTGCTTGCTGCAACTAGAGAAAGCCTGCGTGCAGGAACAAAGACCCAGTTCAGTCAAAAGTAAATAAATAAATTTTTAAAAAAGAAACTCACGTGTGGGTTGCAGCCACTTCCTGGGGCCCAGAAACCCTTTCTGCCCCACAGAGTCAGGGAGCCATTCTTGGAACAGAGACCAACCCCCACACTATTCACAGAGGAGGTCCAAATTTGTTGTCTCAACCCCTTCTCCCTTTAGCAGAGTCCCTGTTTCTCCCCTCCTCCCACAAGGCTTACAAAACGGGAGAAAGAAGTAGAGTGTGGGGGCCGGGTGGGCCCCTCACTCTGTTAGTCAACAAATACTTATTGATTACACACGTCAGGGATACTGTGGAGCATGCATGTGTGTGTGTGTGTGTGCGTGTGTGTGCGCTAAGTGGCTTCAGTTGTGTCCAACTCTTTGCGATCCTATGGACTGAATGGAGCCCACCAGGCTCCTCTGTCCATGGTATTTCCCAGGCAAGATACTTAAACATTGCCATTTCCTCCTCCAGGTGACATTCCTGACTCAAGGATCGAACCCTTGGCTCCTGCTTGGCAGATGGATTCTTTAGCACGTAGCCACCTGGGCACCCACGGGATTATCGCGAAGATAAAAAGAAAGAATATGTCAGTGCCACTCTCTCCATTCGTCCCACCCTCTCCTTCCCACGCTGTGTCCTGATCAGCACAGGGACCCCCGCCCAGCGCTCGGTGATGACCTAGAGGGGTGGGGTGGGGGGGCGGGAGGGAGGTTGGGGAGGGAGGGGATGCACGTATAGGTATAGCTGACTCACTTTGTAGTACAGCAGAAACTAACAGAACAATGTAAAGGGAGTCCTACTCCAGTTTAAAAAAGGAATGAATATGTCCATAAAGACTTAAGACAGGGCTTGGCGCCCCACAAGGGGTAGTTGTTATCACCATCATCACCATATTCCAGGCATTTTTCTGTGCCCAAGGACACACTTGGAGCAGATGCTAAGGTGTGCTCCCAAGACCTGTCCCCCATCAGGATGGAGGTGCTCATTCCCAGCTGTAGGGAGTTGGCTGTCAACGGCTCCCAGTGGAGTTTCTCCTAGGTGTCACCCTACTCAAAAGGGAGGTGTCTTGCCCAAGGTTACACTTCCTGCTCCAGGGGGCAACCTGTACCCAGCCATTCTCCAAGCTCCCGCTGGGGAGACTGAGGCCTCTCTCTCACAGTCTACCCTCTCCATCTACTCAGTCCTGCTTCCCTCATACTCTTATGGAGTTGCTCCTGAGAATATTCTCAAGGGAGCCTCAGAGTCCGTCTCTAGGGAAATCTGATTGCAGACCAAAGCTTTATAAAAAATCTCATTCCTGCCCTTGTGGAGTCCACACAGTAGTGGAGAGACACAGTATATGCACATGAAGAAAATAAGACATTTCAGGCTGTCCCCAGATTTACGTAGGGGGTTGTGGTCTCCGTGCAAAACCCAGCTGATGCCTCTACCAGCACCCCACATCCTGTGTTGGTCTCGGGGTGCTGGGAGATCAGGCCACCACAGCGTTGAGGTGTGAGGCTGAGCTGTGGCAGCCGGCCTCAGGTCACTGAAGCAAAAATGCCTTCTCCCAGCTCCTCACTCCTCCCCCACCCTGCCTGCTCAACCATCACCAGTGCTGAGAAGAAATGGAAGAATGGAAGGTCACTTTCCTCCCTGCTTCCTTGAAGACTAGGAAATCCAGCCACTAGGAAATCCAGCCATCCACACGGCAGGCTGAATGAGTGCTCAGGTGCTCCCAAGCTGGGTAGCTGGTGTCTTCTGCAACCATATCTTGTACTCGTACCCACTGTTTTAGCTGCATGACAAAATCCCCCTCTGCCTCCACATGCTCTCTCAGACCAGGCCTGTGGCCAGTGCCCTTGCAGCGTCACTGCTGTTTCTTGCTCTTTTTATTGTATCCCACAGCAGGCACCTGGTTGTAGCTGCTTGCCTTCTGGAAAAAGAACCAAGCCAATCAGGCAAGGTTGGTTCAAGCTCTGGACTCTGCCACTTCCTAAAGTGGAAACTCATCTCTCTGAGCCTCAGTCTTCTCATCTATAAAATAGGGATCATCCTGGCCTCCACGAAGATCTTATGAGAACCTAGAAGGTGATGCACACCCGGCACCCAGTACCCAACACTGCCTGGCGCACAGTCCTTCCACATCTAGTCAAACTTGCCTTGTCTGCACCAGCCTTACACATGTATGTCCCATTTTCATCAGACATCACACCTCATGAGCCCCCGAAACATCTAAGAGAAGACATTTACCACTTAGTGTTCAAAGCCACCTCTCCTGCCCTGCTGCAGACATCCCCGGTGGGGTCTGGGACCCACAAGAGTCTGCTACTCTCTATGTCCCCTCTGTAAACTCTACCCTCACAACTTTGGGGGCTATTTCTGCTGCTGCTTCACTTATGGCTAAAAGCCCACAAAGTCTGGGTTCGTGTTTTCTCTGGGCCAAACCATACGCCTTGGGACTCTCCTGGTGGTCCAATGGTTAAGAATCTGCCTGCCAGTGCAGGGAACATGGGTTTGATCCCTGGTCCGGGTGGTAAGACCCGCATGCTGTGGGGCAGCTGAGCCTGTGTGCCACAGGTCCTGAGCCCAAGCCCTATAGCCCGTGCTCCGCAACAAGAGAAGTCACTTCAGTGAGAAGCCCACACACCACAACTAGAGAGTGACCCCTACTCACTGCGGCTAGAGAAAGCCTGCGAAGCGGTGAAGACCCAGTGCAGCCATAAATAATGGGTAAGTAAGCAACAACAACAACAAAACATGGGCCTTGTGTGGTCCCTGGCTCTCACTGGGGGCCCATTGTTTCCTTTGATGCCATGCACGGGGTTGTTTATCTGTGCCTGCCTCCTGGTCCAAACAGATGGTCTTCAGTTAGAAAATCAGTCCTAAAGGTAATCACATACACATGCCAGGCTGGAGTCTAACCACTTAGACATGTATATTAAACCTTTTTAATCCTAATAACCACCTCAATTATTAAGTTCCATTTTACCAGTGAGGAAACTGAGGCCCAGGGAATGAAGCCACTTGCCCAAGGACACAGAAGATGAACTTGTAAAGACTGACCCTCAGAGGACTTTGCTGGTGGCCCAATGGTTAAGAATCTGCCTTGAAATACAGGATACTTGGGTTCGATCCCTGGCCTGGGAAGATTCCACATGCCTCGGAGCAACTAAGCCCATACACCACAACTACTGAAGCCTGTGTGCTCTTGAGCCTGGGAGTTGCAACTACGGAGACTTGAATGCACTCTAGAGCCCATGCTCTGAAACAAGAGAAGCCACCACAGTGAAGCAACGAAGACTCAGCACAGCCATAAATTTCAAAAAAGAAAGAAAGAAAGAAAAAAGACTGACTCTCAGAGAGAGAGACTGCTGCAGGGACCGCCTAGGCACCACTCTCCGTGGGAGACATCAGTGCTGGCAAACCTGTGCCTCACACTCCCTGTGATCAGGTCCTTTTCTGCCCTTGTAAGGGGAAGAGTGAGTCTGGGGGTGTCTTGGCAGCCTAGCAGAATGCCCCAGGACTGCCTCCCTCTTGGATTCTTGGGTCTACGGTCCTCACCTCACGTTTTCACCACCCACAACCCTTCCTCTGGAAACCAGGAGGCACCCCAGCACCCGCTGGCTGGCGTGGGACCCTCATGGCTCCTGCAGCAGCACCCTGAGGCTTCTTCCTGCCCCGTCAGGGTCATCACGGCCCACCCAGCTTAGGGGTCCTGCTGTGACTACCTCTCCTGTCAGGCCTGACTGTGCCCCCAGCCCCTGCTGAGCTTGCCGAGCCCTCTGTGAGGGGGCCCGGGGCACAAGAGGCCCAGGAAACAAAGACCCGGGAGGTGGAGACCCAAGGCCCAGGCTCCGCTGGCATGAGTGGCTCCAGCGCGCGCCCCGCCCGGAACCGGCGCCTCTGGGGGACGTGCCTGGCGGGGCGGCGGGGACCGTCCGGACGATCTGCAGACGGGAGTCCAACAGGAGGCAAGTGCCTTTCACGTGCACGTTCTCCCCGCAGGCTTTGTGCGCAGTCGGGCCGCAGGCCTGGGGGCAGAGGCCCGCGTGGGTGAGGCGGCCCCAGAGCACGCCCCCTCCTTTCCCCTCAGCCCCAGCCCCCTCTGCCCGCCCCGTCACTGCTTCTCCCTCAAGACCCTCCAGGGACCCAGAAACACTCACCAACAGCTGGGAGAGATGGGTGGAGGCCGCCAGGGACAGGCCCAGGGACATGTCCACAGCCTCTGAGGTGGCTGAGAGGGCAGACACGCAGGGTCACTCCCACGGGTACACCCTCACCTGGGGGGACAGTCTGGGCTGGAGGCTGAGGAGGGGGCAGTCCTGTGTAGGAGGGTTGAAGGACCCAATCCGCGGGGCGAGTCACTCACTGTTCAGCGAGATGGGCTGACACCCACGGGTGGCAGGCGTGCAGTCGTACAGCCGTCCCGTTTTGTTGACTGTGACCACCTCCAAGGGGGCTCCCACCACCAGTCTGGAGGTACAACCAGGACAGACAGTTGCGGGAGGGATGGGGGCATGGGGTGCTTTGGGTGAAGAAGTGTCATGGGGAAGTGAGATTTCATGAGGGGAGCTCTTGGCCTCAGCTTGTGTGAGGCTATTCAAAATCAGAGCCTGAGTCTAACCCACAGAGGCTGAAAGGCCATGCTGGGCTTTCTGTTTGTCTGTTTAGGTATATGTGCGTATATATAAATATACATGTATTTGTGTATGCAAATAGTTTGAGAGTTTGTGTATGTGTGTGTTTTACATTTCACTCAGAATAAAACTGTTCGGAACAAAAAATAGCATTTCCCAACCTCAAGTCAGTGCTGTTTGTCTCCTTGGAGCCATCATTCTGAGAGAGCCATTGTTCCAAGAAATAGGTCACCTCAAGTTAAATGGAAAAATGTCCTGAAGCCAATAGATAATTCTGTAATTAATTGGACTATTTATTTATTTATTTACACTTTTATTTATTTATTTGGCTGCTCCAGGTCTTAGTTGCAGCCATGTGGGATCTAGTTCCCTGATCAGGGGTTGAACCTGGGCCGCCTGCATTGGGAGCATGGAGTCTTAGCTACTGGACCACAAGGAAATTCCCAAATTGAATAATTTAAATATGATAAACAATTTAATTTAAATCAGCTGTATCAGAAACTGCTTCATATCATTTATATCCATTTATAAATGCAACTGTTTATTTGCAAAACACCTTGAGAGGAGAGAATTTTTTAATTTGGAAAAACGTTCTCATTACCAACAATCTCTCTATTCAGATGAGGGAACTAGACAAATACTAATGTATTTTAACTGATTAGTCACTCAAGTCTTGTTGAATTGGCATTTAAAGATTCATTCTAGAGGACCACTCCCTTATGGAAACCTGAAATCCTTGTTTGTCTAAGACTTGAGGATGACACTGAATCAGGTGGTTGGAGACGTAGCCATTTGGTTTCTTCTGGCACAATCGGGTAAATAAACTTTTAGTCTTAAACTATTGACCTACAGTTGTTTTTTTTTTTTTTACCCCAACCCATTCTTTACAGGACAGCTCAACCTTTTCATTATCACCAGCAGAAACCAGGAAAAACAGTAGCTTTGTAGCAATCAGAATGTCATCCAATATATATTATACACTTGATTGGAAAGTCACTCAGTTGTGTCCGACTCTTTGCAACCCCATGGACAAAAGTACTGGTGAACAGCAGACAATCAAGAGTTTCATTTTTGAAAAAAATAGGGCCTGAACACAAATTGATGGTAAGTGGGACAGAAGCTGTCTGGATTTGTTGGGTGTTGTGTGGTTGTGTGGGGCTCAAGGGAAGCCAGTGGGGGGAAGTGCTGGAGAGATTCTATATCTTGTTCCAGGTGGTTGTTACCTGGATACACATATGTGAAAAATTTATTGAGTTGGACCTTCTAGATTCGTGCATATCAATCTCTGTTAAAAACAAAGAAAATAAAACGCTAGGGCCTGACGTCTGCTTCCAAGTCCTCAGCCTGCCAGTCGAGGGAGAAAGGAGGAGGGATGTACATTTAGGACTCAATGACCTCCGTGTGCTCCCTCTTGGCTAACTGAAACTTCCTGTGCTCTCAGGCTCATTGCCAGTGCCACCGCCTCTGTGAAGTCCTCCTGGAATTCCCTCCTGGGTTTGATGTCTCCCTTCCTGTGGCTCCCAGGTTATGCTCGCCTCACACTGTGACTTCAACTCCTTGGGTCCCTGTCTCTGGGACCCGAGAATGTGCCCTTCTGGAGGCAGCGTGGGTACATAATTTGCCGATCCCAATGCAAAATAAAATTATGAGGCCTCCTGTTCTTGGAAAAAAGATTTTATCTCCCTTTCTTCTACAGGCCCTCCATCTCTGCTGTCATGGGGTTTCCTATTTCCTATTTAGTGTCACACTCCTTCATGCACCAGGAATGCAGCATGGATCCTTAGAGGCTGGGCAAGCCAAGTACAGCAGACCTAACCTTGCCCGCCTCATGCAAGTGTTGTGGACAGGTTTGTAGCCCAGGCGGCCCTTCCTCCAGGCGGTAGCAATCAGAATGCCAGCCTGCAGGCCAAGGGGGCGGAGTGGGGGGAAGTGGGCAGGGCCTACCTAGATCTGTCAAACTGGACCACGCTCTGGCCAAAGCTGGCTCCGTCCTCTTGGAAGACCAGGGGCTCCTCCACATCCAAGTTGAATCCATGATAAGAAGCCAGGCCTGAGGAATACAGGGAGGTGGGGGTGGGGAGAACAGTCAGAGAAGCCCCTTCTCCTTTGGACCCCTGACTTCTCGGGGTCTTGACACCCATCACGCTCAGCCTTGATTCCCCATCTGCCCCGGAGAAAGGCATTCTGATTATTGCCACCTGTGTGGTTCCCATGTCTCCTTCTCCCTTAAAAATAGTCTAATCACAATACAGAGGGCAACCATCCAGAGAAATATCACTTACCCATAGTCTGAAATTAGGCCAGTCACCTCCTGATAGGTTAGATAGAGCAGGAATATTCCTTAAAGATAAAGTGACTGTACAATTTATTGTCTAAACTGGGACCTTCCAAGAGGGGAGGGGGCACCATTAATAATTATACCAGGGACATTGGTACCACCTCCAGGCAAACTGGGGCGTATGGTCATTCCACTTAAAAACCGTCCTGCTGCGTGTTCCATTAGGCTTGGGGAACAGACTTAGAATTCTGTGACTTGACATTTGTCATTTTGTACTCTCCATGTCCTCATTCCTGGCGCCCAGCTCTAAGGGGACAAGGACAGCTACACCTCCCTGTCTTGGCGCCCGGAACCGTGCCCGGCCCCTAGCAGGTGACTTTAGCATTTACTGACTGACTCTGAACCACACAGCAGGTCACTGGCACAGCCAGGATTCCAACTCAATCTCCAGATTCTTGACTCATCCCAGAGGCTAAGCTAGAAAGCCCCAGGGGCAGACACTTTACATTTCAAGAGCTTTTCCCAGCCCCTTCTCCCACAACCAATCACCTTTCCTCTCCATTCCTCCTAGAAGCCTGGTTGTCCCTGGATGGAGGAGCTGACTCCAACCCCAAGAGTAGGGAAGCTTTAAGGAGACCAGGCATCAGGCCAGGCAGTGACGAGGAGGGTCCAGACACCTGAACCCTGGGGCTCTGGGCAGAGGCCAGATGTTTAGGGTGCTGGTCCTTACTGGGGCCACATGCAAGGGAGCCTCACGTCCAACATCTTCTTCACAAAGGGTGATTCTATTCCTAGTCTGGAAGCAGCCCCTGTGATCTGACAGATAGAGGATACCAAGGGATGCAGACTCAGGTGCCTCAGGGGCCAGGCAGGTGACATCAAAGAGTGAAGTGGGCGGGTCTGAGCCCCAGGGAATAAAGGGGGCAGCCATTCCCAGACTCTGGTACCCAGAGCAGCCAGACCTTCCCATTTCTCAAGAGAAGCTGGAAAGACTCAGGAGATGTGCAGGACCAAGGAGGTGCCGTCTAAACTAAAGTCTTCTCATGTCCTGTGGATGGTGTGGCCGCCCCTCCCAGGGGCCCTAGGGCAGACACCCCTCACTTCCAGCACCCACTCCAGGGCCCCCAGGAGAGGAAGGGAGAGGGAAGCCAAGGGCAACCTGGAGAGCAGCTCACCTTCCACCCAAGCATAACCCATGAGCCCACTTCCCTAGGCTTTGCCCAGCTCCTGCGCCTCCCCAGATTCCAGGCTATTCCTCCCACCACACTAGACTGGACAGCAGTCCTCTCCTTTTCCTTCAGCTCCTCCTGCCTGCCCTACCAGGCAGAGACCACCGCTCCCCCCACAACAAGGCTTCTCACAGCCCCGAGGACCCCCACTCACCAGTCAGGAACAGCACAACTGCAAAGGCCATCCCCAAGCAGCTCATCAGAAAAAAAGAAGAAGGCCGGGCAGCAGAGCGCTGGAGGGTGCTCAGTGTCTCGGGGGGAGTTAAAATAATGAGTCAGGGCTTGACGTGGCAGGAGGAAGGCTCGGTGAGGAAGTACTTGGTTATTTATAGAAAGGCGGGGGCCCAAGACACCTGCGGAAAAGCCCCCATACTCCTTCCCATTCTACCTCCAGGGAGTTGGCTTCTCTGGCTGTCCCAGACCACCCTCCCCCGCCCTGCCCTTAAGACTCGCTTGATGCCCAGGGTCCTGGGAGCTCTCTGGGGCCTCAGGAATCAGGCTGCATATGAGTGGAAGAGGCAGGACAGAGAGCTGGAGAAGGCCCTCTGCATGGACATGAGCCTGGAGAGGAGCAGACCACTGCCTGGGTACTTGTAGGGACTGGAGCATGGCTGAGGGTGTTGTTTAAAGAATCAGAGCCCAGGGACTTCCCTGTGGTCCAGTGGTTAAGACTTCACACTTCAAATGCAGGGAGTGAGGATTTGATCCCTAGTTGCTGAACCAAGTTTCCCACATGCTGGGTGGCTAAAAAATACTTTTTAAAAAAAAAAATCTTTTTTAAAGAATAAAGAAGCAGAACCCAGCAAGAGGAGAATGGACAACCACACTGGTAAATTCCTATAGTGCATTTACTAGTCAGCAATTAAAGAGAGCTGACCAAAGATATGGGTAACAACATGGATGAATTTCAACTTTGTCATAAGTGGAAGAAGACAGACACCAGGACTGCATAATAAGAATCCTTTCATAGGAACAGGTGAAATTAATATAGGAAGCTGGAAATCAGAAGAGTGATGGCCTCTCGAGGGGTGGGGATGTCTAACGTGTTAAATTTAACATTCAACACACAATATTTTAACATCTGTTACACTGCTAAGTCACTTCAGTCGTGTCCAACTCTGTGCGACCCCATAGATGGCAGCCCACCAGGCTCCCTGTCCCTGGGATTCTCCAGGCAAGAATGCTGGAGTGGGTTGCCATTTCCTTCTCCAGTGCATGAAAGTGAAAACTGAAAGTGAAGTCGCTCAGTCGTGTCCGACTCAGCGACCCCATGGACCGCAGCCTACCAGGTTCCTCCATCCATGGGATTTTCCAGGCAAGAGTACTGGAGTGGGGTGCCATTGCCTGGGGAGGGGTAAATACATGGATGGTTGTTATTTTCTCTGTAGATTTCTCTCTTTCTCCGGTGTGTTTCCATTGAAGTATAGTTGATCTACAATGTTGTGTTACTTTCAGGTTTAGCAAAATGATTCAGTTATACATACATGGACATCTATTTTTTTTCCGGTTCTTTTCCCTTATAAGTTATTATGAAATATTGACTATAGTTCCCTATAATGCTATACAGTCGGTCCTTGTTGGTTATCTATTTTATATATAGTAGGGTGTATATGTTAATCCTGAACTCTTAATTTTATTGCCTCCCCTCCTTTCTCCTTTGGTAACCGAATCTGCGTGTGTGTGTTTGTTTGTATTTTGGCCAGGCTGTGTTCCCCATCCAGGAACTGAACTCATGCCTCTGCAGTGAAAGCACCAAATCCTAACCACTAGGTCACCAGGGAACTCCCCGTGTGTGTCTTTAACATTCCACAATAAATGAATATCTCTCAAAAAGCCCAGGAGGAGACCTAGAAGGTTAAAATACGTGACAAAAGTCCCTAACTGGGGCATACTGTCTCATGTATATATGTGACAGTCATTTGAAGCACTTAAAATGTAGATTAAATGTCGAGTAAGGTAGTACACCCCTTACCCTTGGTTTGATTTCCAAGAAAATATGAAATAAGAAATTTCAGAAATAATTCATATGTTTAAAATTGCACCCTTTTCTGAGTTATGTGACGGAATCTCCTACCATCTACTGCAACTCGAAAAGGACGTGAATCATCACTGGTCCAGCATATCTTGCCCATTAGTCACTTATTAATAGTAGCCAGCTCAGTTATCAGATTGATGAGGTATCCCAGTGCTTGGGTTCAAGTGACTTTTTTTTTTTTTTTTTTTTACTAAAAATGGCCCCATTGTGCAAGAGGAGTGACCCTGGCAATTCAGATGTGCCAAAGAGAAGCTGCAAAGTACTTTTTTAAGTGAAAAGGTGAACATTCTTGACTAAGAAAAGGAAGAAAAATCACATGCTGAGGCTGCTAAAACCTACAACAAGTACACCTCTTCTACCTGTGAAATTGTGAAAAAGGGAAAAAAAAAATTTGTGTTAGTTTTGTTGTCGCACCTCCAACTGCAAAAATTACGGCCATGGTGCATGGTAAGCCCCTAGTTAAGATGGAAAAGGCTTTTGAAAACCTCTGCAATTAGGGACTTCCCTGGTGGTCCAGTGGCTAAGATGCCAATGCCCCCCATGCAGGTGGCCCAGGTTCAATCCCTGATCAGGGAACTGGATCCCACATGCCACAGCTAAAGACCTGGTGCAGCCAAATAAATTAAATAAATAAAAAGAACTTAAAAAATTTGTTTTACCATTATGTTTTCTTTATAAAAGCTATGTTTCAAATAAAATGACTCCAACAGACTTATAGGAAAGAAATTGGTAAGTGCAAACAAACAAAAATTTAAGTTCTGTTACCCTAAGAGAAAGCATTGTGTTTTTGGCCCCTCAGTCATATCCAACTCTTTGTGAGCCCAAGGACTGTAGCCCACCAGGCTTCTTGGTCCCTGGGATTCTCCAGGCAAGAATATTGGAGTGGGTAGCCATTCCCTTCTCCAGAGGATCTTCCTGACCCAGGGATCGAACTCAGGTGTCCTGCATTGCAAGCAGATTCCTTACCATGTGAGCTGCAGGGAAGTTCCAAAACAAAGCTTTAAAATGGGACAAAAGTAATCATGAAGATGAAAAGTATAAGCCACAGTGAAGAAATTACACTCACTTTTGCAGGATAAATGACATTGCAGTAAACATTTTCACTGGGGATATAAGGCACTGAATCTTAATAATAAGGTATTTTGAGAGGGAGAGAGACCATATTCACCTAACTTTTATTACAGTAAACTGTTAAAATTGTTCTATTTTATTATTAGTTACTGTTGTTAATCTCTGGATGGCAATAAAACACAGTATTTCATTTGCATTGCATGACAAATGGTTAACATCCTCAGCCATAAATGGGACTTATGGAACTTCTCTGGTGGTCCAGTGGTTAAGCTAATGAAAGGGGGTGAGGGTTCGATCCCCAGTCGGGGAGCTAAGATCTCACATGTCTCCCTGCCAAAAAACCAAAGCATAAAACTGAAGTAACATTGTAACAAATGCAATAAAGACTTAAAAAATGATCCACATAAAAAAAAATCTAAAAATAATTAAATAAATATGTTCTTAGAAACCAGTAACAAAACATTGCTATTCCGAGAGAAATGAAAAAAAAAAAAAAAAAACAGAAGAAAATGAAATAACACAAATGACTAGTGAGATTTAAGCCTATGTGAAGATGCCTGAGCTGAACAATAACAGAAGAAAAGCAATTTCTTTGTAATATCATACTATCAAAGATTAAAAATCTAATGTTTGGACAGACCCCCATAAACACTGGGGCACAAGATTGATGAGGTCCTGTCTATATAGTGGGGGAAATATCGTTAATCTCTTACTGGGCCTAATTTATAAATTAAACTCTATCACAGGTATGTGAAGTGAAAGCGAAAGTCTCTCAGTGTCTGACTCTTTGCGACCCTGTGGACTATAGTCTGCCAGGCTCCTCTGTCCTTTGGATTCTCCAGGCAAGAATACTGGAGTGGGTAGTCGTTTCCTTCTCCAGGAAATCTTCCCAATTCTTTACCATCTGAGCTACCAGGGAAGCCCAACGAGTATGTAAGTATAGGAAAAACATATAATATAGAGAGCTCAGAACTCTACAAGGTTGCAGGTAGCCATGGAGGGTCTTGGAACAGAACCTCCAGGGATATGAGGAATCCTGTAGAGACAGTATCAAATAATTTTCTAAACAAAAACTCTAGCTTTATTTACTTACGGTGACATTTAACTGTGGGAAGAAATTAATTAGATGCTAAGAAGGGCATTGCTGATGCCCTTGTAGGGAATGGGGCTGAAGATCATGAGTGCTGACTGTACTTCCTACAAAGATGGTCAAGGCCAAGTTGAGCAATAGCCTTCTCCCTCTTGTGCTGAGGGGTCAGTAACAAACAGCTGCCCGTCATCACTTCTGCGGACCTGGGAACTTCTCTCTGTGTTTGGAACCACAAAACTAATTAAAATTTTTTTTTTTTAGTTTTTCAAATGAATTTATTTATTTAATTTTGCTGCTCAAGGGTTTCTCTAGTTGCCCTGGGCAGGCTTTTCATTGCAGTGACTTCTCTTGCTGCAGAGCATGTGCAGGCGCTGTAGTTTAGTTGCCCTGCACAGCATGTGAAGTCTTCTGGGACCAAGGATCGAACCTGCATCCTCTGCATGGGCAGGCAGATTCCTAACCACTACACCACCAGGGAAGTCCAGCGATGATTTTTTGACAATCTTCCTCAATCCAAAAATCTAAAGTTCTCTTCATTTCCTCCATCTTCATCACACCTCATGTTTTAGAAACATTCTTGAATGTATCACATTTTATATGTCACCTTTAATTTCAAACTTCTCTTCACAAGCAAGGCTTGAGGTTAATTGTTCCAGCGACTGTAAAATTTCCAATTTTGCTTCAATTGTAGTCTTACTTGTCTCAGCAGAAGTCTTTTGTTTTTCACTCATTTTTAAACAACAATTAGGGCAACTGGCAAAAAGATACTCAAATATTTGTTTGAGTTGCCACCCACACGTTGCCATGAAAGTACTTTCTGCCAGGCCTGATGCTGTGGGTGCCAAGATAGTGAGAGATAAAGATAGTTATGTTAATGAGGCAACTTTTGGAAAGCAACTGAATATGGGGGCTGGTAGCCAGTGGAGACACCACATGATTATGGGTTTGGAACTTCCAGCCCCATCCTTCAGCTTCAAGAGGGGAGAAGAGCTGGAGATTGAGTT